TGCCCACATTTCAAAGCTGTCTCCGGAACTGTTCTGCTATAGAATCACCAAAGATAAAACCTTCAGCTCCAGTGATATGCAAATGAAGACATGTTTGTTAAAAGGATTAACCGAGTTGTTCAAAGCATCTTTTTAGTCTACTCTGCTTCCAAACAAACAATAAACTGTCCTCATGCAGTGAGATTCACTAACCCATAAACACAGCCAAATGGAGGAAGAAGAGCAGAACCTTAATGAGTTTGGTCCCCTTTGACTTTTAGCTGATCAGTGTCACCAATAATTTCAACAGGCTCTAAAATAAGCACTTTCTGTCTTCAAAGTGCCTTGCAAACATCAACCAATTAATCCCTACAACTCTCCTCTGAGGTAGGTAAGTAGGTATTGTTATCCCCATTTTACAGTTGGGTGCACACAGTCAGAGGGTTAAGTGATTTGCTGCAGGCCACAGATGGAGGTGGGATTAAAACACAAGAGTCACTAGGATTCTTTTTAGAGGACAGCACTTCTTTTTTTGTGCTGACTTTTCTGTGCTGACTTTAGACCTATTGGCCTCGTGGCAATACTTAAAGGAAACAAAACAAATTCTCCTTGTTAAAAGCAAGGAACCATCAAGAAACCTGGGTGTTTTTATGCCACTTTTGTTGTCTTATACTGATGTAAGGTTTTTCCTTTAATTTTGTTCTGATATTCAAGTGTCATTCCTTTCATAAGGGGACTTATTTCTACGGTGATGTAACATGCTACCAATTGAAAGATATGTCCTGCTCCTTTGCAGGTTTTATTCTGTCTTTCTGCTTTCAAATCTGTAAGTTTAGGTGGCTCCCTGCCCATAAATTGGGCAGACACTTTCCTTCTAGGATCAGGGTAACAGTTGGTTGGCTTGTTTCACTGCAGCCCAGGCAGAAAGAAATGGAGAAAGGCAGCTCTGAGAACCAAGAGCAAAGAAAGCCATTAAGTGAAACCCAACCCCAGCGAAGCGCTTGTAACCCTTGGAACAGGCGTAAGATTGATACCTCTCCCACTTTCAACAGAAAGATCAGATGGGAAAGGGAGAGTGTATCCTTTTCCTCTCTGTGTATACAACTTCAGGCCACTGGGAGATCCATTAAGTCAATCCAGTGTATTGTAATAAAAGTTTGAGCTTTATCAGGAAACCACTTTTCATCCAGGGGCAAGTTCACAGCACTGGTTCCTGGAATACTTCTTAGGACAGAAAAACCCACTGCTCAGAGCTGATGCCTTGCAACCCCTGAGCACATTTTCTGTTATGTTTTTCAGAAGATGCTCTCCCTCCTTTCAGAAGCCTTTCAGTACAGGAATTGACATGCAAAGAGAAAATCAGCGAATAGTTGAAACTTATTCACTCCCTACTATATAGTACAGTATTTTCAGCCCTATTGCTGTATTTCTGTGATGTGTCCTGAAAGTAGAGCTCCATTAATGCTAAAAAGTAAGGAACAATTTATTAATACATCGTTGTAATTAATACATGTTAGCATTCATCTATTACATAAACCAGGGATAATATCCCCTTTTTGTTAGGTATTGCCCACAGGTAATGGTCTCATCAGACTTTTATTAGCTAGAAGTTTACTTTGTTAAGGGCACTTGTGAAGCCTTCAGATTAAGTAAATCATTTAACATAGTTAAATAAAATGCAATTTGTTTTTCCTGCATCTGTGGATGCTGAATCGAAAGGGTATTTTTCCCATTAGAAAGGTTTGTTAGAAACTATTTTGCTCTTGCATGACAAGCACTTATGTCTCTTTTTAGAAGACAAAAAAAGAAAGTTAATAATTCACAACTGAGGAATTGTACTGTCAGCACAACAGTGTAAGAACATGCAGGATTTTGACTCTCCGAGGGCGGGTTTTCAGTAACAAAAATATGTATTACATGGGTTGAGAAAGGTCTGATTTTCACAGTAATTCTGTGACCAGAAAAACATGTCATGCAAAACATAAGCTTGGAAATTGCTATTTGCTAGCTCTGTCTTAAGAAGATTTGTGGCTGACTCTGAATTACATGCTCTGCAGAAACAGCTCCCTTCTTTTATCACTTTGGAAATCATTAACTTGCCCCGGATGGTCCTCTGTGCAGCAAAGGAAGTTTTCACATGGATTTTCTGATAGAGGAAACAAAAGAGATTACAGATAGCAAAGTAGCAGTGTGAATGACAGTTTTAGAGGACCTTCATCCAAACACCTTTCAGTGACATCTCATCGGATAGGGTATCAATCCCCAAATTTCCCAGCACTCAGAACTATGGCCTTCAGGGCTAATTCAGGGAAGCAGATCACTCCACAGTTCCCAATTTCTTACGTTATCTATGAACACAAATAACTGAGTGACAGTTCCATATCCCATTAATTAACTAAATCAATTTTTACATAATAATCTCTGCTGTTACGGGTCCATCTGCACGGTAAAATGGAGCTGTGAGAACACTTGCCTACTGGGGCACAACTGCACTGTGCTTCCCTGCCCCACATGTCAGGGTCCCTGCTGTCCACCCCAAAACCAACCAACTCCCAGACTTGTCCAAGAGCTCCAGAGTTCATGTGCATAGATATCTTCTGCTCATCTGCACCATTGCCACAAGCCACCAGCACCACGAGCGTATTTTAATGTCCTGCCTTGCACAGGTAGATGGGAATACTTCTGCATAAAAATACATCTCTCAGCCACATGAATTTCTGGCAAGGTGCAACCCAATCTCTCCTGAAAGTTCACCTCCTCTATACGTCTCTATACTGCCCTGAGCAATGTTTCAGCACCTGTTCAATATACATCTTTGTGAAACCTTGTTCCCAGGCTTGCAGGCCCAGTGGGCTGGAGAGCCTTTGCAGCAGCATCTCCCTGCTGAGAACTGCCCAGCACCTGCTGGTGCCGTGAGCTGGGCATCCTCCACAAGGGAAAGAGTGAGAGAAAACTATTTAGACATGATCCTACTCATCTGTACATAAAAATCCCTCATTTGCTCATTTATCTGCCTGGCCACCTAATGTTGTGCTGCACATTCTTTGATTACTTGGAGCATGTGCTTTCCTATTTTTGTGTCTAAAAAGCAGTGAATGTATCACAGGTTCTATGGAAAATAAGGAACAAATACCAATAATTATACTTTGGTCACACTTGTTTTTAAAGAAGTTTGACAGAGTAGATTTATGGTATTGTAAGGTTAGGGTTAGTATCTGAAAAGGGGGATTCAGGAGAAGATTTTTTATTTCTGTAGAATTCTAGCATGGTATCCCTTTCAAATATTTCAGGGTATAAACTCAGAGTAGATCCTGAGTTTTCTGAAGACTGGTATTTCCCAACTTATTTAGAAAATTAGTTTCCTTTTAATGCAACTTGTATGTGATTTTCCAGACCTACTAGCAAAATACTAATTACTATTGAATTAAAATGTAGTTGAAGTACACAATGGCATTATAGGTCATACCTTACACACCATGTTTTTAAAGATAACCGTTATTTGGTTATTAATCATAACCAAACTCATACTCACTGTAGTGCGTGAGAAAGAGTTCTAAAGCTTTAGGGGAAGCGTAAGACAGTAATTCTTGTCAAATACCTGGAAATAAGATTTGCATCTAAAACTGGTGTTTTAACTGACTGGGAGCACGTAGGTTGGCAATAGGGGCATTTAATAATAAAACTTTTGTCAAAGTTTCACTTTTTTCATCCCTTGAGGTTACCGGGGTAATTTGAGCATATTGTTATCACATAAAGAATGCTGCTCTCTTTCTTAGTCTTCTTTCCACTCCAAACTCCAACTGTAAAGAGCAAATCTGAACAGCTGAATCAATAATTCCCAATAGAGTTACTCACTGTGGTGTGAGCTGTGAAACTGAGGGGACACACACACGCTCCACACACTATTCTAAGAGTTTCACTGTTGGGGTTCCCCTCTTATAAGGAGTGGCTGAGGGAGCTGAGGTTGTTTAGCCCGGAGAGAAGGCTCAGGGGAGACCTCATCACTCTCTACAACCACAGGAGGGTGTAGCCAGGTGAGAGTTGGGTTTTTCTCCCAGGAAACCAGCGACAAGACAAGAGGACACAGTTTTAAGTTGTGCCAGGGGAGGTTTCAGTTGGACATCAGGAAGAAGTTCTTCACAGAAAGGGTGATTAGGAACTGGAATGGGCTGCCCTGGGAGGTAGTGAAGTCACTGTCCCTGGAAGTGTTTAAGGAAAGACTGGACGTGGCACTGGGTGCCGTGGTGTGTTTGACATGGTTGTGTCAGGGCTTAGGTTAGATTTGATGATCCCAGAGGTTTTTTCCAACCTAATTGATTCTGCGATTCTGTAAACAAAATCTTTTCTGCAAATTAATTTACCTGCATGAATATCAACAGTATTGAGACTCCAGAGAAAGGAAAAGCAATTATTCTGGTTTGTTTTTCTTTATATTTGGTAGTTTTCCCTTGCAAACCTATGTTATATGACTGCTATTTTAATTCTATATGAGTGCTGACTTAATTTCACGGTTTTATCTTGTGGTTGTTGTTGTCGTTGTTTTTACATCATCCAACTACCGGAAACAGATCATCATCAGACTTCTCACCCAAAACCACAGATGCCAGAGTTCAGTAGGCAACCTGCAGACCACTCACCTTGCAGAACCCCTCAAAGGTTTGCAGAACTCTGATCCCTCAGATCCCTCACTAGGGACCATCCCTTTCTTCCTGCCTCTCTCAGTACACTCTCTCTTCAGCGCGGGGGAGCGACAACTTTGAGGACAAAGTTGCCTATTTTTACACTCCTCTTCCTCCTCCACCACGATTCCTGGACTAGCGACTTCCCCGGGAGCCCGCCTGGAGTACCCATGGCAACACGGGGCCCGACAACACACTTCAAAGAATGCTCTTGAGGGGAAATTCAAAAGCCCGCTTGTATGAACACATCAATCAGAGGGTGGCAAATGTCCCCGCGAGGTGCGTGGCCCCCGCGGGCGCGCCGGGCAAGTGCAGTTCCCATGCCCGGGGCGCAGACAAAGAGCGGCCCGAGGCGCCCGCCCGAAGTCCGGGCGGCACCCGCCGGGGAGGAGCCAGACGGGGCTGCCCCGGGGGCGGGGGGGCAGCCCCGCAACTTATAAGAGCCGCGTCCCGCCAGAAGAGCCGGGGCGTGTTTGGAGCAGCGGCGAGTGGTGTCACTGCGAGAGGCGCGGCGGCAACAGCCCGAGAGCCCGGAGCCGCCCGATGGCTCAGAGCATGGACAGCAGCCTCGACAGCCTGGATGTAAGTGCCCATGTGCGCGCTGTTTGCAAACAAAGCTGCCCTCGGCGGAGGCTGCGGGTGGCGGGGTCGGGACAACGGAGGGGTCTGCGGGGCGCAGGCGAGCGGGGCTCGACCCTGAGCCCCGGCAGCTGCTGCCTCTGCCCGCAGCGCTTCGGACCTTGGCACCGCTGCAGCCACGGCCGGACCTTCTCCTGCCCGCGGGCTCTGCTGCCCGGCCGGCGGGTCAAGGGACATGTGGCGCTTTTGCGGGCTGGAAAACGCCGGCAGAGCATTCAGCCACGGGAACGGTGAGGGGGAGAACAGGCGAAGAAGTTTGGAGCGATGTGACTCCAGGGAAGGGCATCCCTTTGGCCCGGTGCCCGTCCTGTCCGCGGGCTGCCGGCGGCACCGGGAGCGCGGCAGCGCCCGGCCAGCCCGGCCCGGCCCCCGCCGCCCGAACGCGGCGGTGTCCCCACGTTTCGGAGGCAGCCCCTCTGACACGGGGTTTTGAGAGCAGTTAGGAGCGAAGCGGAGATCTCCGGCAAGTTCCAACTCGGTCAATGCCCGCGCGGGGCCGGTGCCTCTGCGTGCGAAGCGCTGCGGGACCCGCGGGCGCGCCCTGCGCGGGGGTCGGGGGTCCGCGGGACACGGGGCATGACAAGGACAATCTGAGGAGCTGAGGAATTGCACAGAGCCAGATGGCACTCGCCCGCCAGCGTTGCTTTTCGGCGCGGTGGCCAAAACCGTTGGTGGTTTCCTGATGCGCTTTCATGCCCTCCCCAGAATTTCGCTTCCTTTTTCCACCGCTGTGCTCAGTGGATCCGTCTGGTGAGCCCGCCGCGCTCACCCCCTGCCCCGCGACCGCAGAGGGTGGGGAACAAAGGGAGGGAACGTGGTGACCCTCCATGGGGTTTGAGTTCCCCTGATTAAGGTCACCTCGCTCTTTCTCTTCTTTATGGGCTTTGGGGTTTTTTTCTTGCCTGTGTGTGTGGAGCTGTCATTTGCTTCTCAGCAGGGAATTCTTGCTATTATTTATCCTTTATTACATCAGCCGAGGGTACCTTCTCTATTTCTCCTTGACCTCATCCCCTTAATGAGAAGGCACTATGGAGCAGCAGCATTTCCAAGTGATTTTTTTTTTATAGCTCTCTATTGTAAGAGTTAAATGTGAGAGGTCATGTTCTGTGTGGACAAACCTCTTGCATTCAGCCCTTCTGGGCTCTCCCATTTGTGGTGTGTATCTGATCAAAGCACTGAGATGTCCAGAACCAGCGAGACTTCTGGGAGCAGCCATTCCCTTTCTTTTCCCTTTCGTGCCCTGCCCCTTAGTAAGACCTTAGTCCTCAGAGAAAGACAAAGGAAGTTTTTTAACATGTTCTTATTTGCTGTGTATTTTATATATATACTTGAACATTGTATTTTCCCATCTGGTTTTCAAAAAGTTTGCCCATTTGTGACGGTGGGGACCATTCTCCACACACTGTCCTCCACACACACTGCCACACAGAGTAAGTTTTTGCAGAGGGGCTAACATCTAATTTATTTGTTTTTATTTTTTTTTAGCTGTCATCTGGGTTATTCATCGAATTTTCTGATAATGGCACGGATGAGGTTGGTTCCGGTGACTATGGAGACTATGGAGAACCGTGCTTCCAGCATGAGAATGCCGATTTCAACAGGATCTTCTTGCCAACCATCTATTCCATCATCTTCCTAACGGGAATAATCGGCAATGGATTGGTTATTATTGTTATGGGCTACCAGAAGAAACAAAGAAGCATGACTGATAAGTACAGGCTGCACCTCTCTGTGGCCGACCTCCTTTTCGTCATCACCTTGCCGTTCTGGTCCGTGGATGCGGCCATAAGCTGGTACTTTGGGAATGTCCTGTGCAAGGCGGTTCACGTCATTTACACAGTCAACCTCTACAGCAGCGTCCTGATCTTGGCCTTCATAAGTCTCGACCGTTACCTGGCCATAGTCCACGCCACCAACAGCCAGCGCCCGCGGAAGCTGCTGGCTGAGAAGGTGGTGTACGTGGGCGTGTGGCTGCCAGCTGTGCTCCTCACAGTGCCCGACATCATCTTCGCCAGCACCACGGAAGTGGAGGGGAAGTACCTGTGTGATCGCATGTACCCTAACGACAAGTGGCTGATCTCCTTCAGGTTTCAGCACATCCTGGTAGGGCTGGTCTTGCCCGGTCTCATCATTCTGACTTGCTACTGTATCATCATATCCAAGCTGTCACACTCCAAGGGCCACCAGAAGCGCAAAGCCTTGAAGACCACGGTGATCCTCATCCTCGCCTTCTTTGCCTGCTGGCTGCCATATTACATTGGCATCAGCATCGACACCTTCATCCTGCTGGGAGTCATCCGACATCGCTGCAGCTTGGAGACCGTAGTGCACAAATGGATCTCCATTACGGAAGCCCTGGCGTTCTTCCACTGCTGCCTGAATCCAATCCTGTACGCCTTCCTGGGTGCCAAATTCAAAACATCAGCTCAGAATGCCTTGACATCAGTTAGCAGAGGATCCAGCCTCAAGATCCTCTCAAAAAGCAAACGTGGGGGACATTCTTCTGTTTCTACAGAGTCCGAGTCTTCAAGTTTCCATTCCAGCTAACGCTGCTCTTTTATACACAGACACTTTAAAGTTGCGCAACAGTTCAGCGAAATAAGACTGACCATAATGTACAGATTTATTTACAGTTGGGATTTTATATTATTTCTTTTAGTCTCTGTGAAGTTTAATTGACTTATTTATATAAAAAAACCTTTTGCATTGATGACAAACTGTCTAGGCAGGTCCTGTGGACAAGTGGTTAGTTCACAAGAGCTTTAGTGTCTGTCTGTGTGTATAGATACGTGAACTAAACCCTTTGGATTGTAGCAAAGTGACTGTTAAAAGTTTAGAAAATATTTCTCTGTTGTTTATATGTAAATGTTTTCAGTGTTGCTGTTATTCTTAAAAACTTGGCTGGATATTTTTACCTTACTACAAGATGTTTGGTTTACAATAGCTTAACTCCGCTGTAGAAATGGCACTTATAACCAAAGCCTCCTCTGTTACATGCTAGGGTTTGCCCCCCGTTCTCAGTAATTGATGGTTTGCAAAATTTTCTGTTCAAGATAAAATAAAAGTATTTGGAAAAAAAAGTTATTTTGAGTGGTATTTTCACTTCTGGTGAAATGTTTTTCTCAACGCTTTTATTTACAATTCTCAATACACAATCATTTCTTTGGAAATTGCATGTCTCATGAAAAGCAGGAAAATGAGTTTCAGTACAGCCTGATAATTCAGTTGACACCTGTGAGTTCTAAGTCATATGTTTTTTTCACCAGAATACATTTCCTCCAGTTAACATTATGTTTAGAATTACTTAAACTCTCACTTAAAGAACAACTTGAGGGCAAAATCTCTACAAATGAAAAACAATCTATTTAAGCAATTGCTAAAGTTCACAGCCTCAGGAATCAAACTCGGATTGCTGCAAGTGCCTCACCTTTATACCATGTATATAAAGTCAATCCTACATTTCTTCTGCCTTTTGCTGTGCTGCTAAGATTAGTTTCACATGTTAATGGTAATCAAACATAGTTGGATTGAAGCCATTTTGCTATTTGGACTAGAAACAAAGTTATTGGTGTATCTGCTCTGTGGAAGGCAAGTTGTTTTCCTTTATGGATCTTTCCCTGTCCTGCCTACATCCAGATTTACTTAAGGTAACATTACAATCTTAACATACTTTTAAAAAATATAGAATGTGTACCAGTTCTTAAAAATATTTTTAGTAGGGATCAGCCAGACTACAGAATTTCCCATAATTAGTGTTGAAAACTTAATTGTCTTGTCATGTCTTCATGTTAGTAGAATGTATTCAAAAGCAATGGATTCCCAAGAGGACAGAGCCATTGAGAGTATTTGTTCCTACCTTAAAAGGACAAACACAACTGTTACTTATATATATATATATATAACAGTTTGGAAGTCAAAAAGAGCAAAAAACCAATGTCTACTAGTCACACAGAACTCAAATGGGCAACACGGATATTGCAGTGGTATTATCCAAATTTTTCACAGGCACAGCACCCTGGTGACTTTGTGGAGCAAGTACCACTATGCTAAAGTATACATTAAATTCCATGCTTTATTTTAGATATTTTCATAAATACAAGACCCTTCTGTTTTCAACTTCCCTCCTCTCCAGGCAGGAGGCTGCAGCCTTGGCTGCATCCTGCACTCTTTCCCTTTCAATGACAGTAGGAGTCACCTGATTCTACGGTGAGCAGTCTCAGTTTGCTGAACCAGCACAAAACTAACCTGGCAGAAAAACAGGGTTTCAGCAATTAAGAGAATTGAATGAGCTCAATGAGGAGTCCAATGAGCACTATGAAATGAGCACTACGAAAGTGCAAGATCCTGTAACCTGGAGCCAGGCACAGGGAGAGAAACGTGAGATAAAATGAAAAGGAAGCAGATTTCCTCCCACTTTTAGCAACTAAACTTTTAGATCAGTCAACTAGTGCGTATTTTCACTCAACATAAATTAACAACAGGAAAGATGTATTTTCAAGAAACAAAAGGTCTCACTTTGATGAAGTTGTTCCTCCCAAACAGAGCTGAGAAATGAGGAAAACGTGGTATAAGAGCAGAAATCCTTAAATTGTTTATTTTTGTTGTACCTTTGTGTGTTTTCTTAATTTAGTGAGGGTTTGCCCCGTGAAGAATTTGTTGTTCTAAATGATTCTGATTTTCACCCCAGCCCAATCAATCACTGTGATTTAATTGCACTTATAAAATACTTACAGGCTATCAACACACTGCTGCTTATTTGCTGAGGAAATGTTTAGAGCCCCCAGCATTAACTCAGATTATTCCCATTATGCCTCAGTCAAACAACTGTTCCCCTGGAGCAGAGTTAACAGGAAAGAGAGTGCAAGACGGAATAAACTCAGCAGTCATGTTACTGCCAAAGACCACTGAAAGGACACTGAACAAACAACAGAAAGAATTTGTGTAGAAAATAAATGAGCAAAATTAAAAAAACTCAACCCATGGCCCCAGAGAATGATTTTCATAAAACTGCCATTGTTCTCAGGAGAATTAGTGAAACTATGGACAGAAGACTGTCCTGAAAAGGAGATGTAAGTTCCTTGGGGTTTTGCTCCAGTAAGAAAAATTAGTCAAAAGCCACGTGTATTTATTTCTAAATAACTTTATATATCTATAAATATAACATATCTTGGTACTGTTCACAGATCAAATATTTGCAAATTGAATGAAGTTGTCACAAGGAAACATAGTAAGAAATTATGAAACCAGTTCTGTCCTTTTACCGCTGAGTAAGTCAGAGAAAATCAGGCAAATTTCTCTCAAAGCCACTGAGCTATTCCAAATATTCCATGTTGGTAAAAAACATTAATTTGCTCCCTTTCAAAACAAAATCACCGTTAAGTTGGTTTTTGTTGAGGCTGTGACTATTTTACATCTTTCTGAAGCAAAAGTGGTCCCAGTAAATGCATTTCTCAAAATGTAAATTCAGTTGCAAAGGTGAATGGACCTAATTTTGTAATTTATATATTGGACAAGTCCACACACACCAAGAACTTGCCAAAGTTTTCAAAGGGACTTTCCAAGTTTTTTTCCAAATTGTTCCTCACTAGCACACAGAATATTCATGACATTCTTCAAGATATACACAATGCATGGGCTCGGCATTTTCTTGAGGTCATAAAATAATAGCTGTGTCCAAGTAATTTTAAATATGCAACTCAAGATACAGAGCAGAAAACAAATGTGAGCACCACTGAGTATTGGTTAAAAAACAGTTTAAAATTTTATGTGGTAATCTCAAAGATTTATAATGGATTTAAAGACTCTTTCCATGCAATTCAGGCACTAAGTATTTTGCAGTGTGCCAACAGCAGTGCTGGACTAAAACGTGGATATTCATCCAATACTCTGATGCACACATTTTGTGTGCTTAAGATTAGTTAGAAATCCTTTGGATCATGCAGAGCTAAACCAGGAACAGAACATGTATGTGAACTCGCTTTTGCTTCCTCTGAAATGCTGTTTGGAAGTAGAGTCAGAACACTCAAAGCACTGGGGCAAAATTCCCCTGTAATCCACTCTCTGAGGTGCATTTTCACTCTGTGTGACCAGGCTGCACCAAGCCCACGTTGGAGGAGCACGTGGAAAGCTGAGTGCTGTGGTGAAGGTGAGAGAGCTCCTGTGTGCCGAGGGCAGAGAGCAAGGGGGAGTCACTTGGGGTATTTTCCCTGGCCAGTTCTATGACACAATCATTACACAGGGGCTTGAACTTCTCTGCATATCCATAAATCAAAACAAAATCACCATGAAAATAAAAAGGAAGTGGCAGCAATAACACGGAGCCATTCATACCAGTGAATGGTTTATCTTACCATGGCTGTGCTCTAGTTGGACAATGTACAAAGTGACCACCTCGAGATGTTTGGTTGAAAAGGCCATTTTTCACATTGTTTGGGAAAGGAAACAGCATGACGAGGAAGTACTTCCTTGATCCAGGCATGCCTCCAAAATCCCCTAACAATGGAGTATTCTCATATTCTCATAGTGCTGAAACTTAGGAAACACTTAAGCAGATAGAGCCCCAGAGGTTTTTGCTCAAAGGATGCCACTCCCTCACTTTATGTTTTGAAAGAGCTGTACAGACTCTTTCGCAGCCATAAATCACGTGTCAATTGAAATTACATGAGCACTGGGATTATTGCTTATAAAGAAGGCACAGATTTCTTAAAATCCGTTCCCTTTAGGCAACAACTTTTCTGTCATTCTTTTAATTTTCTCTGAAAATATTTAATCTTTATCAGGATGAAGTTTAAAGAGAATTTGCTGTCACATCAATTCTGTCACTATCTTCCCACCATTCCAGTTCTAACAGGACATACAATTAAACAATGCTATGTTTATTGGGTTTGAAAGCATATTTTAATAGAACTTCATTATAAATGTATTTTATGTTTGCTTGTTTACATATATTTTAACATAAATACCTCTACATAATGATGTAGATTATAAGCACCGTTTTTAGGTGTTGATACAAGTGACCCAGGCTCCAGCACAGCTACTACTGACTTCAGAGGAGTCAGGATTCATTACAGATGTAGCAGGTATTGATTAAAATGACTATTTTCTTGAAAGGACAGATGGCTTCGGTGACAAACTCCCACTGAAGGCAGAGACAGCAGGGTACCTAAAGAATTAGGTGTACAACCTTACAGCCCCAATCCATTATGAATGAAGATTACAAGTTGCTCTGATTTCGGTTGCAGTCAGAGGTGCACAAAAAACTAAATCTTTCAGTCTGGAGCAGGTGGAATTGTTCTGCTGAACACAAGAGAAATAAATTTTCAGCAAAATGGTTTTCTCTTTCTGAAGGCTTGCAAGCTTTGCATACCCAGCTACCAACTGTCTTGCAGTGATCTGTCTTCAGTGGCACAGTGTTTGAAAGAAAGAGGTCAACATCTAAAAAATCCTTGTCTTCTGGAATTCACGCCAGGAATAGATCCTCACCACACGAACATGTCAGAGTAAGTAGAAATTATGAGGGATATTTGAAGGTTTACACTGTAAAGAGTTCTTTGGCTTCTGGTTTGGTTTGGTTTTCACTTGGATTTTTTTGCTGTTGATGCTGCCTTTTGTTCCTACTGCCCTCTTCTCACAGTTTCTATTCTTCTAGGCTTTTCCTCTAGAAATATATCTTTATAGAATTTTTAATGGTTCTGTTCTGTTAGGATTACACACAATATCCTGCACAAGTAAGAAAACCTAAAGAGAAACTCTTCAAAGAAGAAACAGAGCCTTCACAAGTGTTTCTATATCTTCTCTTGTGCATTTCCCTTCCAACATCTGCTTTTCTTTAGCTGGAAGATAAATTACTTCTATATTGTATGAAAAGTTTAAACTCAAAGGTTGGTTTCACTCTCAAGTTTCTTAAAGTGCAATCACAGCACGCATTTGTTTACTGTCTTGGTTCTTTCCTACTGAGCACTGGGTAATGGGGCAGATCTCCCAGAGAGGGGACGGATAAGGAGGCTGAGGAGGCCCCTCTCCTGCTTGTCTCTCACCGCTGATGCCACCACAGCTCCAGGAACACGAGCTACCC